CACGGCCCGGGAGTGGGGTGGGGACGCGGGTGAGCGCCCCCGAGGTGCGCGGCTGTGGATGGAGGGGCCGTGGGGGCGGGAGCGCCCCGGGTGGCTGGAGCCGCAGCCGGGGGGGACCGAGCGCTCCCGAGCTGTCCCCGGGCGGGGTCCTGGAATGGGGGGAAAGACCCGAGCAGGTGGGTGTCCCCGCGGGGTCGGGGACCCGGAAGCGGGCAGAGCGGGAGGAGTGACCCCAGGGAGGTGTGAGAGAATGGGGAGCGCTCGTAGGGTCTCGGGCCGCCGGGACCAGGGCGGGAGGAGTGCGGAAGTTCTGGAAAACGGGGCTGGCCGGCACCGAGAGGCACTGAAGGGAGGACGCTGGAGGCGGAGGGGACAGTCAGGGTCGGCCTGAGGCTTGGGGTGAGGAGGAGACCGGAGGTGTGCGGGCAAAAGGATCAGGTCTGCTCCCCGGAGGATGAGCTGGGACCCAGGATTCGGCCTCTCTGGCCCCTTCCTGCCGTTCACTCGAGAGAAGCGAGAGGAGAGCCTTAGCCTGATTTTAGAAGCTTGGAGATGAGCTCCGTGAAAGAAGAAAACCGGGCTCCGGGAGGAAGGAGGTGGCCGCCACCCGCGCGGGCTCAAGGAGAAGCCAAGAGCTGCCCAGACAGCTCTCCCTGGGGGCGGAGCGAGCCAGATGGGGGTGATCCGGATCACCCCATCTTCCTCTTCTTGGAGCTCTAGACAAATGCTTCGGAGAGCAAGGTTAGAGTGTGCGTGCATGAGTGTGTGTGTGTGTGTACACACCTCCACCACGCCTTCCACACTCGCACCGCTTAGTACCAGGCCAGATCGTGGGCTGGCGAGTAAAGCCTTCGGGGTTTGTATTGTATTTATGTGTAGTAAGCACTCTCTCCTCCTCCCTTTGTTCCCCAGGTACTTACCATCTGACTAGTCTCAATTTAAGAGAACTGGGAACAGACAACGCGGCGCTAGATGGCTCTTGTGATTTCTAAGCTGAAATTTCTAGATTGTTTTTCTCCGTGCTTTGTAACTGGATAGAAGAAATGGAAAAGCTTGCTTATGTTTTGTTTCGTATTATTATTATTACTGCCGATTGCTACTACCACTCACCTGTTTCCAACCAGATTCATAATCCAAATTATTTTCACTGCTTTGGAGCTGGGCAAAACAGATAGATATGTATCGCAATTGATTTAAATGTCTTACAGTTAAAGAATGTTCATCATAAAGGAAATTGAAGACTGAGATCAGGAGATTTATAAATATGGTAAATAATAATAGAGCTGGACCCAGAATCTAGATAAACTTAGTCCAATGTGGTTTTCAACCTTACCACGTGAAGATGACATGTATTGCTTTAAAAAAAAAAAAAAACCACCTGAGCCCACCCCTGGAGCAAATGAATCCGTTTCTGAGACCTGAGTCGTGGGTATGTTGTGGAAGTACCCCAGCTGGCTAATGGCTAGCGAAGGGTGAAGAGAGCTATACAGATAATGGTGAAGAAAGAACACCAGGCAGTGAAGGAAGCAAGCAAAAGGAAAGACTTGGGAAGAACGTTGAATCGCTGACCTAAAATTCACTGTTAAATTGGCAGTGCACACACTCCTTGCCACATGCAAAGACAGGGTCCCAGTCAGTTGGTATACATACAGCTTTAACCTAGGAAACAGCCACCAAAAGCACGGTACATTCTCCTTTAAACGTGACGATAGCACTATAAATAATAACGTTCCACCTTATTTCTGATTCCGTTTTTAAAAATACCATCCTCTAAACCCTAGCCAGCAACAGGATCAGAAACCAGAATGTGCACACACTGCTGAGTCTGAAGATTCTGAGGTTAAAATAACTTAGCTTTTTCAAATACATAAAATGTGAACTTGAAAGCGGTTAGTAAGACTGGAAAAAAAAATGTGGGTTGCTTTACAGCAGAGGGTCACCTTCTGGGACCTACATTATTTTCTGCAAGTCGTGTAGCTTCCTGAGTTCTGTGTCCCCCCCCCCCCCCCCCCCCCCACTGCCTCACCTCCCTGGACGAGCCAATACCGGCCCTTAACACATAGTAGGCATGAACCTGAATCTGCCACAGCCCGCATCCTCCGAGAATGTGAGTGGGCTGCCTGGGATTTGCCGTTTGGGTGGTTTATTGCTGTAGCTTTTTGTTGTGCTGTCTTTTACTTACTACAACTGAATTTTTTTTTTAGGAGTGGAAATACATAATATTCATCTGTCATTAGTCATGTACTTTTACAAAGTAAAAATTTGTCATAACTTTTGTATCACACAGGTAGACTATATATATGCATATATATCATATAGAACTTTAAAATGATCTGTAACCTAGGTGATGTACTTTAAAAATATTCACCCAATTTAAGATAGGACTGCTATGCTCGTAATAAAGTATTCTTACAAGGCTTTGGTTTTCCAAAATATGGATCTTAGAAATAATTTGTTCAGGTTTTGTGTTACTTGAAATGTTAGTCATTTCTTACTATGTCTTGTATGGGCATGTATTCTATTTTACTTGGGCATGTCCCTCATTAGGTGAACACATGTGTAATAGACTCAAAATACAATGTTCTTGCTTAACTTGAGAAGGAACTGCCCTTTATTACTGAATTTGGGTTCTTGTAAGCTTATGTCCCCTGTGAACTTTCCTTTTACATAATTATAAGGACTATTTATAAGCTATAGGTAAGTATCAGGAGGAATACCTGAAGTATAAAACTATAAAATGATCACATTCTTTAAATGTATCGAGGCCTTTGTATTATCCTACAAAATCTAGATACTTACAAGACAATCATTTGTACTCCGCTGCGTCCAGTTTGTCCTAACAGGTAGAGAGAGCTGCTTCTGTCCTTGAAGTTCTGCATGGTGAGCCAGCACCCTGGGCTGTGTATGTGGCCTGGTGGGGGCACTTGGCTGTGTTCTGGTTGGTTTTTATCAACTAGACACAAACCAGAGTCACCCAAGAAGTAGAGAAGCTCAGCCGGGGACTCGGTTCCATCAGATTAGACTAGTAGGGGGCATTTTCTTGATCTGAGGTTGATGTAGGGGAGGACCCAGCACGTTATGAACAGTGCTAGCCCTGGGCAGGTAGTCCTGGCATTCATAAGAAAGCAAGCAGAGGAAACCAATCAACAGCATTCCTCCATGATAACTGCTTCCATGAGTTCCTGCCTTGGCCTCTCTGATGATTGACTATAACCTGGAACCCATAAGTTAAATAAACCCGTTTTTCCAGAAGTTGCTTTTGGTCAATTACTTTTATCACAGTAACAGAGACACAAACTAGAACTGAATTGGTCCCGGAAGTGGGTTTGTGCTGTTGAAGAGGCATAAGCTTGGGCATTTGAATGCTTGGTCCCCAGTTGGTGGAGGCTTAGTATGTGCAGCCTTGCTGGATGAAGTATGTCACTAGGGGCAGCTTTGAGACTAGTCTCCCCCTAATTTCAGTTTGCTTGCTTGCTGCTGACACACCCCTTTGTGTATTCTGTAAAAGATGTAATCTCAGCTTCCTGCTCCTGAAACCATGCCTGCTGCTCCTCATTGTATTTCCACGTTATTATTGACTGCTAGCGCTCTCTGCAACCATAAGCCCAAGTAAACTCTTTTTTTTTTTTTAATTTTATTTATTTTATTTTACAATACCATTCAGTTCTACATATCAGCCACGGGTTCCCCTATTCTCCCCCTCCCACCCCTTACCCTTACCCCCAATGCCCCCCCCATTCCCACCTCCTCCAAGGCAAATCCTCCCCCGAGGACTGCGATCAACCTGGTAGACTCAGTCCAGGCAGGTCCAGTCCCTTCCTCCCAGACTGAGCCAAGCGTCCCTGCATAAGCTCGTAAACTCTTTCTTAAGCTGCCTTTGTCATGGTGTTTTATCACAGCAACAGGAAAGTAACTAAAACAGCCCGAATGTGTGAGGCCCCAGAATGAATCCCCAGTAGCACATGGGCAGAAAATGAGCAAGCATCCTAAAACACTCAACCCGGCACAGGCCAAAATACTGAGATGACTCCCTGCACTCTTCAGTACAGGTTGAACTTAACTGGTCTGCAAGTGCCATTTGAACCCGAACCTCATCACCTAGTTAGTACTACCATACTTCCCTTGAACTAGTCCTTCCTTTCACTGCTACAGTTACTTAGCTAACGCCCTTTTCAGAGTTTTGCTCATTCTTTCTTCTATTTAATATTCCATCCTATCTTTCAGACCCTCCCCCCATCACTCCAACCTCCTCCTTTTCTACTGTATTTTGTTTCCCTCTGACAACTGTATTTTCACTACAAATTGAAGGATTTTTACTGCAGTTTATTGTTTAGCATTGATTGTGTACTTCCACCTGTTAAACTATAAACACGTGAACAGCAGGAATTAATGTATCCCAAGCACCTAGGATACTACATGCCTCCGCGAGTATTTGGTTAATTGCTTCCCAATGTGAAAATCATTATTACTGGTTTAAGTTGGACAGGAGAATGGGGAAAGGCATTCTGAAATGAGGGGAAATGGATGCAAAGAAACTCTTTACTTTTGATTTGGATCCTGGCAGCATCTCTATCCTTAGCTACTGTGTGTAGACACGTCCCCTGTTCTGCAACAACAATCATCTTGCCCTCTAACATCTGCAACTTTTAAATGGTTTCCCCTTAGCTCGGCTTACCTTTTTAGTCATATGTCTGCCCTATTCCCAGCCTCTTCCTCCTTTCTGTTCACCCCAGGTTCTCCTATCTGCTCATACATATCATCTGTCACAATGTGCCTTAACTGTTTCTTTGTCTATATCTTCAACTGAACCATGAACTCAACAGTAGAGAATGCTCTTCTTTCCACTTAACCCAAGGCCTATTAAAGTGCCTGTTTCACAACAGCAGCTCAGTATAAACAAATATATGAACAGCTACAAAATATGAGAGGATTACTGGAGTATGAAGAGCACAGAATTAGCAAAAAGTAGTATAGAAATAGGTGATGGTAAGATTATGTTCTAGCTTATATGCCTTGCTGAAGAATTTGTACTTGTCTTATAGTCATTATAGAGTAGAAGTTTTTAGGCAGAAAACTGATGTAAGTTTTGATTTTCAGAAACAAATCCAGCATTCATTTCTTTATTCATATCTAAAACACCTGCCAATAGAATTACTCAAAGGACAGAGATGCATTCTGATTTGCACTTGGAGACACAAACACCAGAATTTTTTTACTTCTTGGTTTCAGAATTTGTGTAGCTATTTTTCTCAGCAGATTATAACAGCAGGATAATGAGGCCAAGGTCATGGTTTAAATCCCTGTGTGAGTCAGTGCAACAGCCACAGCTGACTATTAATCTCTGCCAGTTGTCAAATGGCAACACACTGTTTTTGATCAGAAATCGAATGAGAGGATGTGACCAGTTCATCCAAAGCTAAAAGCAACTCAAAAGTGTCTGGCTCTTATAAGTCCACAGTGTCTAAATTAAAACAACACTACATTAGTAGTGGCCAAAGAATACAGCACCGGGGGGGGTGGGGGGGCATTGTTTGCTCCTAGAAAAGAAAATGAAGATTAGTATAGTTTCATTATTGAGATTCACGACCAAGAAATATTATAAACCTTAGTGGATCTTAGTCTAGTTGGACTTTCTTGTCCAACTTTCTTTGGACCACCAGCCCCTAAGTCATGACATGGAGACTTATTAACTATGAAAGTTTGGCCTTAGCTTAGGCTTGTCCCACCAGCTCTTACAACTTAAATTACCCTGTTTCTATTAATCTAAATTCTACTTTACTCATGAAGGTATCTACAATCGGCACCCACTTGCAAAGAAAATATTAGTCTTCCTCAATGGCGTCTCACTAGGTATATTAACCACATTTCAGCCTAGACCCCATGCCCAGGACTAGATGGCCAATACAAAATGATATTTGTGTAGACTTTTTGTTTCATATTGCTTTGTTTGGGTAGTTTTTGTCTTCTTGATCTTTTCCTTACATATTTTGGTTTCCAATTTTGTATTTTGTGTGTGTGTTTGTGTATGTGTGCTTCTTGATTTTTTGTTGTTTTTTTAAGCAAGAGAAAAAAAGGGCATAGAGTTGGATAGGCAGAGATGTAAAGGAAATATGGGAGGAACGAGGATGAAAAGGTGTGATCAGAATATATTGTATAAGAAAAATGTTTTTCAATTTTAAAACTATGAGGGTTGGGTTGGGAGGGAGAGGCTGGAGGGGCGGGAGGAGGGAAGAGGGGAATCTTTGATTGGTATGTAAAATGAATAAAAAAATTCTTAATAAATAAAACCTGCCTTGCTATAAAACATTGACAACTCAACTGTGCATGGTGGCACACATCTTTAATCCCTTTAATTTGGGAGGCAGGCAAATCCCTGAGAGTTTGAGGCCAGCCTGGTCTATGTAGTGAGTTCCAAAACAGCCATGACTATATAGAGAGGCTGTCTTAAAAATCCAAACAACAACAGCAATAATAATAATAATAATAATAATAATAATAATAATAATGATAATAAATTGACAACTTACTTGGGCCCACAAGGTAATGAAAAACAGGATGAAAGCCTAACATCTCTGCCTTCATTTTGCACCTGTCTCCTTACCTTGAGTCACCTCCCTACCTCTCCATGTAGGCATGATAATCTCTCAGTGAGTGCCTATCTAAAAACTGGTGCCACATAACCTCACTCACTCAACTTCAAAACTGAAATTCACAAACCTAAGAGTAACCGAGGCTTCCCTCAACAACATTGTACAATCTTCTCCAGACCCTAAAAGGTATATGGAGGGCTCCAGGTATTGTCCTGAACACAGTTTCCCAGAACAAACCACCCTGCCGTTGAGGGCAGCTATTCACATTGCCATGGGTGCAACCTGGGACAGAAGGACTGGCCTCCTGAGAACCAGCCTGCCCCCTTTTGAGACCACATCTGCTTAGTGATGATTGAGCAACACTGCCTAATTATGTATTCTACTCCTTGCCCCCAGCCCCAGTTCTTCCACTATTGAAACCCCAAGCTCATGCCTATGCTCCAAAAATGAACTTGGAGTCATTGGAAGAAGTCATTCCTCTTCTCGGCACATTAAAGTCTTCCCCATCCTTTTCAACTCTTTAGTTGGTGATGGGGGGAGGGTAATCAAGCGTAGCCCACTGTGGATGCCAAAGTAATGACTTTGTCCTAAAACTCCAGTTCTATTCTATATTTCTTGGTGCAAGCCCAAAACTACTTATGAATTTGCTGAGACAAATAAAAAACAACAAACAAGTTGAAACACATTTTAGCTACACCTACCAGTGTATAGGGAAGTGAGAATAAAGAGAAGCATACAACATCGTGGGAATGTAATCTGTGGGACACTAGAGCACATTCTACAAGACAAAAAAAATACAGTTTTTGTTTTCAATAAACATGTGACAAGAAAGAAATGTGGAGATGGAGCAGAAGGGATCTACAGTTTGGGTATTTTAGTTAAGATCTAAGAGATCAACAATGAGCAGGTGGTTGGTGAACTTCATTTAGACACTAAATTAGCGGAGGCTAAAGATGGAGGCAGAATCTTTATGTAACAGAACTGGAAATTTGATGATAATAATAAGGAAGTATTTTAGGGTGATAATGGTATATTAATTGTTTTAATCAAAGACTTCAGGGGCTGGAGAAATGGCTCAGAGGTTAAGACCACTGACTCTTCTTCCAAGCTACTCAAGTTAGATTCCCAGCACCCACGTGGTGGCTCAAAACCGTCAGTAACTCCAGTTCCAAGAGATCTGATGTCCTTGTCTGCCTTCCTCGAGCACTGCATGCATATTGTGCAGAGGCATACATTCAGACAAAAACCCACACAAATAAAGTAAATATATAAAAATTAGGGAAAAAACTACTTAGTGCTAGCTGTTGGAATACCTCTGGAGAAAATGTAATATCTAGGATTTCATCAGAATATATGAATGTGGGATTGGCCCTGGAAGATCAAAGAATATGTATTTTTCTTTTCTTTCATTCCTTTTATTTTATTTATTATTTATTGACAGAGTCTTGTATGTAGCTCAAACTGGCCTTGAAATCATGGGCTACCTGCCTTAGCTACCTACATGCTGAAGTTAGAGGAATGTGCCACCATACCTGCCTAAAAACAATGTTCTTAACATTTTTACAAAGAAAATCGGAGTGTCTCACATTGGGTGTCATTTATTAAATAAGGAATACAGTGGTTTCAGAAAACCCTTGATTAAGCATTCATTAGTTGACGAGTAAATTATATTGATGATTTTAACTTTTTAAACCACTTTCTCCAACCTTCTAGGAAAAAGTTGTATCATTCTACTTTACAGTTTAGAAAACTAAGCATGGACTGGAGAGTCGGCTCAGTGGTCAACAGGACATCCTGCATTCGCAGAGAAGCCGAGTTCTGTTCCCAGCTGTTCACATTTGCCTGTAAGTCCAGCTCCAGGGGATCCAATGCCCTCTCTGGGCACCCTTGGGCACCTGAACTCATTCATATATACATATAAATACACAGACAACCACATATATACATTGTTAAAAATGCTAAAGTGTCCTGGAGAGAGAGATAATCTATAAAGAGCATCAGCTGCTCTTTCAAAAGACTTCAGTTCAATTCCCAGCACCCATATAGCAGCTCACAACCATCTGTTAACTCTAGTTCCAGAGGATCCAGTGCCCTCTTCTGGTCTCCAAGACACCAGGCATGCAAGTGCCACACATACAGCAAAACACCCATTCACATAAAATTATAGATAGATAGATAGATAGATAGATAGATAGATAGATAGATAGATAGATAGATAGATAGATGGCATGAATATAAAAAATAAAATTTTAAAACCGCCTTTTAAAGGTTTTATATGTGTGTGTATATACACACATATATACACACATATACACACACATATATATATAGTTTCTTTAAAAAGCAAAGGAGTCTGAGCTGTAGATAGCTTGAGTGGTTTAGTCCAAGGAAGTTATATTCAAAGGTTTTTTTCAAGACTAGACCTCTAGGCCACCTAATCTAGATTGTGAACCACTATGCTTTGTTGCTTAATGTGATACATGATATATATATATATGTGTGTGTGTGTGTGTGTGTGTGTGTGTGTGTGTGTGTGTGTGTGTGTTCTTTTTCCCTAACTAAAACCCAGGTACACTTTCTTTGTAACTCCTGGAACCTAGCAAACAGCATAAAATAGTTGCATTTAACATAACACACTCCCTGATCACTAACATTTAAAATGTTTAAAAAAAAATTTTTTAAGAGAAACAAATGTGTAGTTAAGGTGATCAAAAATAAAATGCCTGATGCTATCCCACTTTTCCAAGGTCAGTCCTGGTTTAATTTGTTGCTCAGTTACGATTGTAACTACTTCTATCCCCAAAGCATCCCTGTATATACCTCATATTATATAGACATATGAAATTTGTCGGAACATAATGCACAATATAAATGGTTATAGAAATCCTTATAAAATTCAATATATTCCTAAAACAAAGGTCAATGTCCTAACTATCCAGTAAATATCATACATGTTAGATATTTAAAATAAAGTTAATTAATTCCTTATTAGAAAAGAATTAACGACTTACTGGCTTATGCTCTCCCACAGGACAAATTTTTTTTGATACCAGCTGGAATACTCACAATGAAGATTCATTGAAAAAAAAGAAGTCTCAAACTGCCACTGCTCAGGGGTGTGAAAGATAAACATCAACTCATAGAGAAGTCATCAGCATAACATAGTAACATATGGCACATAGTAACAAAAAGACACTGGTAACAAGCTTTGCAACTGAGGAAAATACTGCCCTTTGTATGAAAGCATGTCCCAAGTAACCACAGACACTTTAAACAAATGTTAGGAATTTAGAGTGGGCTGCAACCCAGACATCCCAGGCAAGGGTGGCTTTCAGAGACAGACAGGGCACTACAGTCTGTCTGTCTCCGCCCAAATTAGTGTTGCAATTTAATTCCCTGTATAAGCTAGCACCAGGTGGAGCCTGCACAGGGTGATTACAGCAGCTCTCATGAATGGACTGATCTACTCATTTGATTAATGGGCTGATGCATGAGTTGATAAGTGGATTATCTCAAGAATGGGTCTGCCACTTGGTCTAGGACTCACGGACTGTCTGTCTGTCTCTTACCAGGTGATACTCTGCACCACTTTGTCACTTTGCCAGCAAGAAGTTCACCACCGGATAGGCCCCCTCTTTACCTTGGGCCAGAATTACAAGTAAAAAATAAACCTGCTTGCTTTCTAACTCATCCAAAATGTGTTTTATGTTTTAGCAACATAAAACAGACCAGAATAAGGGATTGATCTTCCACAGTGTGACTGGCTGCTGCTTCAAATGTCTCCTTCTGCCTACAAGGATCGAATTAGTCTTATCTAGATGGTGCCTGATCCAACTGCTTTCGTCCATGTCCTTTACTCTGCCAGACACCATGAAATTCAAGAAACCACATCCTCGATCTGATGAAAAGAGACACAGAGCTTACTATCAGCCTGTACTGATGGGACTGCATTCTTAATTACTGCACTATCTCTCTGATTAGCGTCATATAACACTAAACTGGATGGGAGATAGAAAAGAGCCCTGTCATTTCCCACAAGGAAAAGGACTAGCAGGAAAAGAACTAAGAATAACCTGGTTTATTGGTCTTTATCTTGCTGATGAAGGGAACTTTAGTTCATCTCAATGCCAGAAGGAGAAAAATAAGTTTATTATGTTTGTAAATTGCATATTCTATTTGCCTAGTATGTATTGAGAAAATCATCTCTGTGCCAATCATTTTGAGAAAGCCATTGGATTTCGAGTGTTTCCATTTTTCTCTTATAAAATAAAAGACCTCCACAGAACCAGCAAGATTCTCTCACTATTCAAACATAATAAGTCAAATACAATTATGAGTTGATGCATTTGAAATGTGCTATTCATCCATCAAGCATATGTTGGCAAGTATTGAAAATAACATACGCAAAATACATGCTCATCCTCAGAAAGTTCTCAGTCAAGTATAGAAGTCATAGCATATGCAGTGGAAGAGGTGTCTATAAATGTCCCTGAGAATACAAAGAGGCTGTCTCTAACTGTTATGAGGAAACAGGAGATTTTCAGATGGATCTTTTTTATTTCAGATTTGTTTATTTTATGTGTATGAGTGTTTTGCCTGCATGACATATGTGCACCATGTGTCCACGCTGCCTGAGGAAGTCAGAAGAGAGCGTCAGATCCTGGAACTGGAGTTCTGGAGAGCTGTAAAGCACCATGTGGTTTCGAGGACCCACGACTGGGTTCAGTGCTCTCGACTGCTGAACCACCTCTCCATCCCCCTCAATTAGATCCTTATAACCAAGAAGAAGAGGTTATGAAAGAGAGAAACAAAAGGAACATATGGGGTTGCAAATTGTCTTGTCTGCCTTGAGGGTGTAGATTTTTAAGAGATTAAGAAGTTGGTGCTAATAGGGCTGGGAACTAAGATGGGCAAATCTCTATCTTCTATTGTGTACTAAGACGTTTAGACAGCATCCTGCAAGGGGTGCATGAGAACTGCCTCTTCAGGTCACATGAAAATATAGCTGATAGCCAGGCATCAGGACCCCAACCTGCAGGCCCAGCACTCAGGAGGCGAAGGCAGGAAGACAGAGAGTTCAAAGCCACTTTGGGCGACTTATCTCAATAATAACAAAGACCTTATCTTTGTTATTAAACCTTATCTCAATAATAACAAAAGGACATTGGTCTTTTTCCTCTTGCTAATTATTCTATTTAAACTCATAATAGTCTGAGATTAAGATACCACTAAGTTGTCTGAAATAATAGCTCTAGTCAAAGCTACAATAACTGCAAATAGCTAAATTTAAATTTCTATTTATTCATGACTGTATTACTCAAAGTTAAATATTAAAAACTTTAGTTCCTCAGTTATACTAACTCATTTTAAATATTCATTGCTGTATATAGCTAGGAGCTTTCATTTTGTACATCACCAGTATAAACATCTCCACCCTTGAGCAAAATGTTTCCTATACATCATTGATGAAAGATCAGCTAACTATCTACATAACAATGAGACCACATTATGAAAAACATACAATTGACTTTATTTCTTTTTAATTTTAAAGTGCATATATTTACTCTTGTGGAGGATTTTAAGACTTAAAAAATACAACCACCTATGAATTTAGAAATTAGTAAACTCTAATGAAGGTGAGAATCTTAGCAGGCTCAACAACATCATTTTCCTTTGAGAAACAACACCGGAGTTTGGAAATCTCAGAAGAGCATAACACCCTGGAGGGAATGAGCTCATTTGTAAGTTAGTCTGTGAGAATGATGACAGATATACTCCTCACATGTAAGCAATAGGTAAATAGGCTCAATTCCAAAGCTGCATGCAATTGCCACTAATAGTTTAGTCAAGAAGAAGAGCTGAGTACAGAACCACAAAGTTTTGTGGAGTCTGTCCCAGGGCTTTTCCTGAGATCAGTAGAGAAGAATCTTCTAGCACCTTCAGTAATGCTAAAGGAAAAATCAACACACAAAAGGCAATTTACTGGCTGATGTAACTAGAAAATACAGAAGTAGCTAAAATTTCAGAATGGGTTGATACAGGATACATACATCTACATACAAACATAGTCTATCCATGTATTACAGAAGCATCTACACACACACACACACACACACACACACACACACACACACACACACACGAGGTTCAACTTCAGTCTTGATCTACACTTTGTTGTCCATGCTGTTGACTTTTTTTGGTGGGGTGGTTTCAAGACAAAGTATCTCTGTGTAACAGCCCTGGCTGTCCTGGAACTTGCTCTGTAGACTAGACTGGGCCTCAAACTCACAGAGATCTCATGGGTGATGTCATTCTGTAAGCCATGAATATGTGTTACTCTGATTGGTTAATAAATAAAGCTGTTTGGCCAATGGTGAGGCAGAATAAGGTTAGGCAGGACATTCTAACTAGAGAGAGAGGAAGAAAGAAAGAGAGAACAGAGGAGATGGTTGTTAGCCACTATCAGGAGAAGCAAGATATGAAGATACTGCTAAGCCACAAGCCACATGGCAAAGTATAGATTTATATAAATGGGTTAATTTAAGATGTAAGAGCTAGCTAGCGAGAAGCCTGAGCCATTGGCCATGCAATCCGTAATTGATGTAAGCCTCCATGTGTTTACTTGGGTCTGACTGGCTACAGGACTGGACAGGACACAGGAAAACTTTCAGCTACAGAGATCCTCCTGCCTCTGCCTCCCAAGTGCTGGGATTAAAGGTGTGCACCACAACCACCCACTTTATGGTGTTGACTTGAACAACCATTTTATTCATGATATAAAATAGCTGAAAAAAAATATGAATAGCTTGTCCATGTCTGAGCTAGTCTCTTTGCATATGGAGCCCCTCTCCTAAGATCAGAGCATGCCATGCTTGGGTGACATAGGTGTGACTACCTGAACTGCAGCAGGGAAGTGAAATAACCTGGGCCACCAAAACAACATGAGATGTCGGGAAAACCGAACCATTTACTCTGTCACCAGCAAACCAACGTCGACTGTCACTTAGTTTTCACTAACATCAATTAAAAAGCCTTTACACTCCGGGTGATCTTTAATCAATAATAGAATACACAGTGAAATCCATAAGTGGGGAGATGATCTTGGTTTCAGACTCACAGATGAAAACCCCATGAAGGTTGCATAAGGAAGAAAATAGTGCCATGAAAGTGGTAGGTTTTGTATTTTGGGTGTAGTCACTCACACACATGAATACACACACACACACACACACACACACACACACACACACACACACAATGGGGGAAGTAGACCAAAAAGATACAATTAATTGGCCACGTTACTCTAGTTACCACAATTTTTGGCACCAAATTCCACTATAAGTGAATAGATTTGAACGGAATTTGTTACTTTGTTCTCTTCAGTTTCCACATTTCATGCCAAAATTATTTCCCCCAGCTTCAATTTCTCCTAAATCATTCTGTACACAGATACCAAATGACCCCTTTAAAATAATACTTCTTGGGCTGAAAGCATGGCTCAGTAGCCAAAGTGGCTACTGGGGGCTCGTTGGCCAAGCAGTCTAGCAGAAACAGTGAGTTCCAGGTTCAGTGAGAGAGCCTGTCTCAAAAAATATGGTAGAAAGTGATAGAGAAGAACACCAGATGTATATTGACATCTGGCCTCCTATGCACATACATGTACACTCACTACTTAGGACAAGAGCTCTGCCCTGAAGGTGTCCCAGACACCTGGAGCTGTTTAGCATAGCTCTGATGGCTGAGACTGTGAAGAAACAGCCCAACCTTGGAAAGGAAGGTTTTCTGACTTCTCGGGAGAGTCAGGCCTGGAACTGCTTCAGCAAGGAAGGGTATCCTGACTCTTCTTCGGGAAAGTCAGGATATACCTGGTATGATGGTATGATGGGGGATGGTTTCCCCGCAGGACACAGCAATCCTGCTGCTCTCCTGGAGAGACACAATCTCTGGCTCAGTGTTACCAGCTCTTTCTCACTCAGTCCACTATGGGACATCCCAGCAAGGTTCTTCTGTTCAGCTCCCCCTTGCTCAGTCCACTATGGGACAACCCAGCAAGGTTCTTCTGTTCAGCTGTCAATGAAGGTCTTCACCCAACACTCTTTTGAGAAAGAGGTTTATTTGGGAAGGAGGAGTCCAGGAGAGTGGCTGCCTCTACCAGAGTGGAGAGAACAGCTCATAACTGACTGGGCAGGGCAGTTTATATAGGATGTCTAGGGGGCGGAGTCAACTGTGATTGGTTAGTTTATTTTCTGCCCAGGAATTGGCCAGTTTTGTGAGCAAAGGGCAGAGATGGCCCTGATTTCAGAACCAAACTGTGATTCTTTCACTGGCCTTTCTCAGCTTTTTGACACTACCTCTAAGGCCAGGGCACATTTCTTTCACTGACTCTGATTCCAAGGGCCAGTAGTGTTATTTTGGTGCTAGTCTCAGAGTCAGGGCATATTTCCATTCATTTAGTCATAACTGTTCCCTTGAACTCTTTGTGGTTTTCTAATTCTCACAGCCTGAAGTGCTCTATGAACAGGACTTATTATTGACAATTATTTGCAATGAAAATGATGACAGATTCAATACTTTGTATACAAATGTTTTGCTATTTCTATACAAATATTTTATTAGTGACAATTGCCCATTATACATTTTACTAAAATGTTATGACTTGACATGTGAAGAGCTGATGAGTATTTAATAATACGGGCTTCACCGTGCAACTGGCATTTTCATTTTTTAATTCACATATGATTAGCCAGAAACATTTAGAAATTCCACTTGAGATTCTACTTTTTTGCCATAAAAGAAAATAATAAAAGCATTTATCTGCCTATGACATAATGTCTTGTTTATAAACTGACATCATTATAGCTCATATAACATTTTTTCTCTCTTCTAAGTGAACATACTAAATGAAAGAAGCCTGCTAATAAAATTAAATTCAACAGAGCAGCATAGTAAAGTGGAGGTATGAAGGACCAAATTAAGTGGAGGAGGATGGGACTCATTTCTAAAGAAGATGTTAAATAAACAATGAGCATACAAATAATCACTACAGTTTCTCCTCAAATCTCAAAAAGAAAACGCATTCTTAGAACATAGTTCTAATAGTTTCTATCTTTTTCCACTGTATTAAAAAATCTTTGAAAGTAGGAAAAATGCTTTATTCTCCTTTATATTCTCATACTCTTTAGCATTGTGTGTTCCAAACCACTGAATGTTTCATGAACTTGAGTTAGTCAGTGATCCCACTAATAAACCAGTGTCAGTAATGCTTCAACTCTAATGTATTTACAT